TTGGTGCCAGACCATGTGTCGATCATTGGTGTCTGAAGACCACCATGCCAGATCGGTTTCGTTGGACACTAGCTGGTAATGGCCCCCCGTTGCCCTACACAATCATGCAATGTGGAACTTTAAAAGAATATAATATATCGACTTATTATAATTTATAATTGTACATATTTGTTAAATAAAGTGCTGCAGCTGGTTGAACTGACTATCACTCAGAAACATTCCGCGGTATGTTTCTTGCCTTCACACGTGTTCGGGCCAGGTTTGGGTGGAACATGGGAACGTAGCACCATATACATCATATACAATCGACATCAACCATATCATCCAAATTCTATGCAAGTTAGAAAACATAATATTTGATACCAATTGGTTCTTCAGGTGGGATTAAACACGTTTTCTTATGTTTTCTTAGGATTCATAATCCCGAGTACCTATTAATAAACACTCCCCAATTAAAAAAAACCCACGTCCGAACCCCTAAATTCGGTTTATATTTGGTTTTAAATTGCCGCCCTTTCAAACCGCTACTAAACTACCAACATGGTCGATTTTGGGGGTAGTTTTTTTTATTAGGTTCCCCAAAAACAACCGTAACTGCCCACCTCTGTCCGCCCTGTCTATCCACCATGACACGCCGCGCTTACACCAGCAGGCTTTCCTTCCCCCAATGGCACGGACTCACGCAAACGCACTTGCCACCGAGGTCATGCAACACCGCATGGCACAGCGACATCACCTTTCGAAAGCTTTAGCTGTTAGTCTACCGAAGAATAACTATTCTAATGAAGGTTTTTGTAGGGGAAAAGGAAGACCCTTCGATCTGGAGCTTTTTTGCATTTTTGATACGAGTTTAATAAAGGATTTTATATAAAACTTTACGGATTTACTTTTTGGTTTTGAAGCTCTTCCCAGGTGACCCTATTTTGGACCCCCCGATTTCAGGGACCCCCTATTAAAAAAAATGCGACCGAGGTTTTTTTAATAGGGGGGGAGGGGGGGGGGGGCCCCGTGTTTATTATTAGGGGGACGGGATTATTGAACATGCCCTTGTCACTGGGAAGAAGACCCTGGGCCTTGAGTCGGACGGGTGAAAACTTGAAAGCAGGCACCCGCAGGAGTCACCTGCCGTCTGACAGAAACCTGGGACTACTGTAGGAATCACCTGCAGCTCCAGATCAATTGAAGCCGTTCTGTTTGGGAGCTCTGACTTTGTCCCAGGCCTCCCACATGGATTTGAAGGGAGGCCCTCCCGTTCAACAATCATGTAAGCAGACACAGCAGCATAACATATCATAACAGATAACAGATCTTTATTATTGTTAAAACCAAAAGCAAGCGGCCTGTTTGTCGGGGGAAGCCCCTATACCTTTGCTGCTTTGGAGCAGCGTCTCATCGCATCGACCCGAGGCAGATCTTTGGGATTTTGTATGTGGGGCACCTGGAGACCATCAATGTGGATGAGGTGGATGACCTAGGCGGGGAAGGTCCGGAGATCCTATGGTCGGATTTTTCCATGCAGGGCAGGGCTTGGAGAAAGTATTGACTTTTCTCGTTTTTCATGGCTTGGAGGTGGTCTTTTTGTGAAGTCTTTAACGTGGGGTCAAAGGGGGAGCGGCTTGGGGCTTTGCTGCTTCGGTGAGTGTCACTTCAGCACCTGACTTCATTGTAGGTCCTTGATGGTTTCCGCACAAATCCAACTTGTTAGGACTTGGGTGCCCCACTCCAACCCACGGCTGAACAAAGACAGGCCTTCATAAGACCAAGATGGGCGACTTAGAGGTTCGAGCCCGGAGCTTCTGCCCCTTGGAAGCACGGTGATCCGCAGAAACCGATGATCCCGCGAGGTGATTGGATGGACGGCGTCGTGACTGGTGCAGTTTTGTCATGACAAGCCATGGCAAGCCATGGCAAGTCCATACTCGGGACCCAAAACATGTCCCTCTATGTTAGCGTGAGCATCATGCTGGAGACTTGCCGATGCATTGCTACCTATAGCCTATGGCTGTATTTGTGGGTAGCTGGAACCCTCTCATGTCCCCGACTGATGGAGACTGGAAACCTCTCAGCATCACCCTTGAACAAATAAACAATTGAGTCCTGGCACCACCACCTTCCAGCATGTCACCAATTGCGACCTCAAGAGGGTTCAACAACCCTCCTGCGAGAGTGTTCTGATAGGTGCAATTCTTGGAATGCACTTTCTGCTGGGTCTTTCAAGATGGGTGTTGCATGATCAGAAACAAAGCAACTGCATGCTATTTGTAAACGCCCCCATCAACAACGAAGCCGTGTATCTACACTGTTTCATGAGCCGGACCGCTCTTGCCAAACCGAAGCCGCTCTGACCCCACCTAGGTGTCAATGCCAAAGGCAGCAAGGTCAGGGAGCATTTGTTCAAGTCAGCCACCTCCACGATGTCCAGCTCCTCGCGATGTTGGCCGTAACGGCCGTTGCGTTCGATGCCGGCTCGACTCGGAAGCCGCCGTCGTGCAGTGACACTGCAGCGGTGAGCCTGTTCAATGCCCGTAAACAGCCCAGCGGTGTGTCATGCAGTTTCCGAAACAAGAAGAGGTAGAAAAGGCCTGGGGGAACTTGGCAGCCCCCTGTAGAAGGTAGGAAGGTGTTGTCCATGTTTAGCTTATATATATATATTTTTTGCGGGAGTGCAGTGCAATGATAGATGCTTGAAAAGGTGTGTGACGCCTCGTTAGACTGGAACAAATGCAGCTGAGCATGTTTGGCTGGCCCACTTGTTTCTCTTCAGAAGGGAAAAAGGAGGATGCAGATGTAAGCCTCGAGGTAAATACCCTCGAGACTGGATTCTTCCAGATGCACTGCAGATCGGGCACGCCAACAAGTGTGCTCAAAGCATAGGAGGAAGTTCCGGAGGAAGTAACAAGTTGAGGCATGTCAAGCCTCAGAAGAAGGGTGGTTGTCCGAGGGCTACCATGGAGTTCCTCACCCAACAGTGGCGGTCGGGGCGGGTCGGGCCGGGGTCGGGGTGGGTCAGTGGGTCTGGTTTGGATTCATTTCACTCAGGTTCTGATTTGGGCACATTGCAGCCGAAGATCTGACCCGATTTTCACACGGGAGGGCCGCTGGTCGTTTTGGACCACCGCATGACTTCCTGAGGCTACAGACCACGTGGGGGGAATGAAGGCATTGTGGGGGAACGGCAAGAAGTTTGCATGATCTCCGTCACAAGATGGCCTTGACAAATTTGGTGATTGGGGAGCACAATCTCAGTCCCACTGGTTTGGAGGCCCTTGGCAAGGTCTGCGCGCGGCCGGTTTTTTCCAGGGTAAAGACACCCAAAGCCGATCCGAGAGGCAGATGACTTTCGATCCTGGCCAACCCAAAAAATGTCAATAGCACTGTAAACAAAAACTACAGTGACTGAAGACCTTGGTTTGTAGTACCAACAAAAGGTGCTGAACAGCTATATATAGCTGCATGGCCAGAACCTTTCCTCACAAACCGGTCGATCTGCTTCTTCGATTTGATCGAAGTGTTTTTGTCAAAGACAACGTGGGGAATCCCCGACGGTCAGCCCCTGTGCTGAGAGCCGCAGTGAAGCGCCTGCTTCAATTGAAGAACAGATCCTACTTGGAATTGCTTGGTTGCCCGGAAATTACTGCAGGTTTGTAAATGCAGAAGGGTCCTGTAATCATGGCTAGGCATGCTTAAACAAACATTATTGATTGTTGTGTGCCCAAGTGGGATCCAACGGTGCTCACACTTCCGGCCACCGCCTATAGACAGAGCCGCTCGTTGGCCGCTGTCCTGGCCAGTCTCGATCTTTGGTTCATGTGGTTTTCCCAGTCTGGGGTATTATGAGGCCCTCGATCCTATGTTTGGATGATTGGCCAGGCATCCTGCAGTTGAAAAATCAAGGTCCCTCCAGTTGCGCTTTTGTACGCCACCTGCCCAAAAGCAACGAACAAGCAATACCTGGCTACTTGCTTGAGAAGGAAACTGGAAGGGTACGGCATGGTGAGGTCTCACATCAGCTAAGCCTGCGGGATGGATATGTCAATATTTCTGATCACACCACTAGGGCCGTAGGCAGAAGATGGTGCATTGGCAAAGACCGGTCTAGGGCCGTAGGGTACGAACTTGGAGCCCCAAGCTTAGCTCGGCTCATCATATGAGTGGCGCTGTCAAGCAGCACCACTCCCGAAGAAGTCACGACCATGCGGTGTACTGAGGTGTACTGAGGCCAAGCGCCTCACATCCTTTTTGCGAGTCACTGCTGGTGTCAGGGAAAGGAGCCCTTGCGGAGAAACGCCGCATGAGATCTACTGATTAAGAGTCCATTCTTTCTCCTGGACACTGCTTTTTCAGGTTCTACATGTTTCTTGTTTGATCACCTTTGGCTTGAGGGGAAGGCTCCCCATCAGTACGCCCAGCATAGGTGTGGAGAAGATCGCTTGGGACGTCAACATCATGAGCGGGACCTTTGTTCATGGCTTAGTGTTTAGCAGCTTCCAGAATTTCCAACAGGTGGCCATGCCACACTGCCCAAGACTTCCAAGAAAAAGTCTCAAGGGGTCGCGGACTGCCAAGATGAAATGGATTCTTGAGAAAGGTCCGCAGCGAAGTATCGATTTCCTGCCAGCTCGCCACCTGCTGCTTCCCAACTCCCACTTCAAACTACTGACTATATATATATAAAACACTACAAATGTCCTGAGTAAACACCTCCCACCACAGACGTGTGAAAACATGTGAAAACCATGGTTGCTTTATACCCCAAATCTCGTTGGCATTTGATGGCGCTTGGACAGGGATGCTCAACTCAAACATTATTGTATTTCAATATCTATATGAGCAGCCATGGGCTGTTTCGTTTCACCAGAGACTCCAAGAGACGCGCTGCCGTGAGATGAAAAACAAAGGGTCCACGCGGAATCAGGGCAGAGAAGGGACCTGCGACACTTGTCCGCGCTATCATGAGGCCAACCGGTGAAAGCACAATTTGTCGATTGCCCGGCTCGCAGGTGACGCGCCGCTCCCCGATGCTTCTGCTGGCGACCCGGAAGCCTTCTGAGCAGCTGGCGCCGTTAGTCGCCTTCCTGAGCCTGGTCGATGAAAGTGGGGAAGGGATGGCATTGATTTGTTTAGGTCATGGAATGTAGTGCCGACCGGCTAGGATTCCCCTTGCCATGCTCCTCCAGCTGGCACTTTACCCCAAACATAACACGCAACGGTTTGGCTCCCCAGAATTGTAGGGTTGACGGTTGACTTAACTACCTTTGTCCCCCCTCTTTGGGGAGCTTCAACCTGTTTCAGCCTCAGCCAGCGCTATCTCAACTCACATCAATCTCCAGACTCAAACCCCTTACTTACTGTAGTCAGTCCCCCGAAACTCACTCCTATATTCAACTGTTCAAGATTGTTCCAGCTTTACCTGAAACCATCACGAGACGAGATCCCCCATCCCACAGCGATCTCCATCCCACAGCCACCTGTTGGGCGTTCAGAACATCCGCTTGCGGACATGCAGCGGACCGTTTTGAGGGTCAGTTCCTGGACGTTGGGGGTGGAAATGACGGAGACAAATGAGTCACAGATGGTATCCCTCACTTGATGAACTGTTCTCCCCAAAACCGTTGGTGTTTAACATGTTTTGGTGAGTGGCTTTCTTACCACTAGGTACTTGGGACACCCAAAAACAAAACGATGTTTCTCGTTAGCATCCGAAAGAAACGGGTCGTTTGGGATTCTTCGAAGGAAGCATGATGTGTTCGTGGGGCCTTACACCAACGTGTGCACCGGTTTCTGAGGCGGCACCAAGTAGGCATCGACCCAGCGGCAGAGCGATGTTTGGCCTTCTATGCTTGGCCGGATGCGGTGGAGATGTTGCAACGTGCCGCCGGGAAGACCCAGAGCTGAAAACCCTTCGGTGCCGAGGAGTGTCCTTTGCAAACCCCGGGTAGGCAGGGTAGACAGGGTAGGTTGGAGGCCATCGCTGCGTAGTAGGTTGGAGGCCATCGCTATAGGTAGAGAAAATGGAGTTGCTTTGGGAGGTCACCACGGGCAGGGCAGACCCGCTGCGAGGAACTGAGCTTGGACCGGCTTTTCCTCAGAGTGCACGTAGCAAGCTGAAAGGGTTTGAAGGTCAAAACGTCCCACGGTATAAATACATGATGGTTCCATTTTTGATGGGCACTGTAACTAATCCGTGTTTCTGGGTCATGGTCATGATGTTGACTACCCTTGGCCGAAGAACAGCATACCTTCAACACTTTTCGAAGCAGATCTGCGACTTGAAGACTGTTCAGTGGAACTTGGAATCGTACAAGGAATCTTATGATCTGAGACAACTGCCATTTTGCAGGGTGATTTCTTGTGAACATTGTTGCTCTGAACGGCATGGAACTTCGGCATGCCACAAACTCAATCCCAAGCTTACGGCCAAAACGCAGCACCCCCTGATGCTTCGCACCTAAGCTCGTGCTGAAGACGAGCGAGAATCGAGAGAGGCACAGCATCTGACAGAGCTGGGCTATTCCATGGAGGAGCTCCGAGAAAATGTCGACGCGCTCGGGTCACTGGGCTCCATCGGGCGCGCTCGGTCGCTCCGTCCGATGACACGGCACAAGGGCGGCACACGCGCGGCACACGCGCGGCACGTTGCAGTCGGTTGGGCCAAGATGACGGAGTTTCCTTCATTTTTTGGAGTGGGGCTCCATCCCCTAACCAATAGGTTTCTGTGAGTTTTACTCCGTGTAGGGGTTTTGGGAGGTCTCCCTTGTTCATCCCTGTTTTGATGCAGATGTTGCCGTCATCCCTTTAGAAGTGCAACAGCTGTCGACCTTTGTAGGAGGAGCACTAGGAGGAGCCTTGCGATATGAAAGGAAATTATCAGTAATTGCATGTACATTGACATGTATCACACACTATATATATTTATAGGCACTCATCCCTGATCCGAGTGATTGTTGATAGAATGAAGCCATCTCCAGGGTTGCCTCAGGTTTAGAAAGGCATCAGCTCACCCAAATCATTCACACAGAGACTTTCAATCATGTTATCTCGATGATGTATTCCTTAACAAAAACTTCCAGCCCACTTTGAGGTATTCCTTTGAAGCGCGGCTCCTTCCCCGCAGCCGCTTCCTACAGCACCTGGGTGTCGCTGGCGACAGCGTCGCGGGCGTTGCTTCTCGCTGTCCCTTACGGATCCTGGCCATTGCGGATGTGACTTGGTGCAGAACTGCCCATCAGCCAGCTTTTCCAACTGAAGATGGAATTCGTTAAACAGGTTGGAGGCCATTGCTAATTATTAGGTGGGAGGCTCTTGCTTCTGGGTTGGTGGCAGAAACATGATGTTCAACATGTTTGTTTTTCTCTTAGTTTGACCATCAATGACGAACCCTGACAACTGTGCTGCTTGGGAGCGCACTGCCTCAAAATATCAGAAATTGGGTTTGCTCAATCATCCAAGCCTTAAAGAGCTTCCCCTCAACATGCCATGTGTGCCAAGGACCTGAAGTTCTGCCAATTCCTGGGTGTGACTCAGAAGGACTTCTTGAGCTTCATGTTTGACTTGCGCCGGTCCTTACGGCAAAAGATGTCGCGGATTCGGACTGGCTGGACGGACATGCACGATGGATTTCGCATGCACCAGCTGCGAAGAGGGCTGAGAGAGCTGCATGGGATTCCACTCCTTTGAGGTGATCCATGAAGTCCAGGGTTTGAAGTTCATGAGGTTCCATAAGTCTATGAACATCTATGCACCCTTTCCAGCTGGCAACCCATCCGAGCGATGAACCCATTCGGTGTTTCATCCTGAGGCTTTATAGTCGAGCAGTTCCTGTGGCCGTGAAAAGTCCAATGCTCAGTTTGGGGGTCACTGCAGTGCAACGGAGAGACCCGTGCGAAGTTGCGCTGTCAATGGTCTTCCGGGGTCCGCTGGTTGGATTTGACCTGAAAAGAACGCCGTCGCCGTGTTTTTTTTTGGGGGGGTGTTTGGTGGGTAGAGTACCATCATGCCATCATATTGCCATCCATGTTAGTGTTCAAAAGTAGTACAGTATCATTTTGAATTCAGGAATGCTATCAATATACAGTGATCGTTTTTACCCCCAGCACCCACCGTATTCTAGACTACGGTGCTCAGGAGGTGGTGTTCAAGCTTTTACCCAATCAAAACTGTGTCAACCGTTGTTCTTCACAGTTGGTTTGCTGGACCTCGGGGAAGTCATGCTTGGAATGTGATCCTTTTCTTTTTTTCCCCCTTGACAGCCCTGTATCCCCGCCTTGGCGAAGTGTCCCACCTGCAGCCAAATTAACATTTGAGCCTTTGAGCTCTCCGTATTGCCCAGGCTCCACCTTTGCTTTGTCTTTTGGTGTGCCTTTGAGGCACCCGGTGAGAAGTTCAGGAGTCGGAGGATGGGAGGATATGGGACCAACTCCGCCCACGATCGATGGTGCGGTTAGCGGGAAAGGATTTCTGCTCGGAGTGCTGCTTCCAGCAGTCCAAAAGAGATCCAAAGAGTCTAAGTAGTGGCTCCTTGTCTCGTGCTGACCATGAATTCCAGTGCGATGAAGGATGAGCAAGGAGAGCGCTCTAGGTGCCAGCCAGAGATATTCTTTGAATGCTGAATGTCAGTCAATCCTTCAGCCGCCCCATTTTGGTGCACAGTGGGTGTTTCCTTTGCTCCGCTACTTCCTTGATGAGTTCTTTTTGGAGGGATGTTCCAAGATCGCATCTACCGTTCAGTGACTTGTGGAGAGATCACCCATCGACTCAAAGACCATGGTAGTGTTTAAAAAGCTGAGGGCTTCTTTGAAAGGAATGCTTGTGTTCACTTCAGTCTGAGATCTCCGTCGTTTCTGTTGAACCCTTCCTTTGTTGACGCCACCCTTGGTGGGATTTTATGATTTTACGGTAGAAGTACGCAGATTTACAAGCCCAACATGGCCCACCTTCTGACCGCTTTTGATTACACCATCATGGAAGGTGTCACATCCAGTTCCACTGACATGTCACATGCACAGGCATCCTGAGGATGCCTGAGGATGCCTGAGTAGCTAAGAGTGACCAGTGAATGTTTCCCCTCTTACTTTGTGTTGTTCCGAGCTCCGAAAGCCGGACTCGGCGCTCGGAACAGGATGTACAGCCCTCACCGGAAAGGCGGGTTGTTCACAGTTTTCGGGGCGCAAGCCGTTTCCCTTGCGCCTTTGGAAACGGCAGCTGTAGCTCGGGGGTGATGTTCTGGGTCATAGCCTGAAAGCTGAATGGGAACCGTTCATGCTTTCACTTTTAACATGATTTGTGTTTATTTGGTTGGGCGGGTAGAGGCTGAGGTCTCCTAATACAGACCCACCTATGACATAGATATATAGCCTATACAATTCATTTATGAATTTGTGGATTGCTATTTGAGGTGATCTCCATCAGATACTAGCAGCTACGAGCAGTGGTGCACAGTGCCGCGCACCCAAACCAAAGAACAACAAACAGCAAAAGAACAACTGATGCAGGCAATGTTCATCATAGTCGATCAGTCTTCCGCCATGCGCACGCAAAGTCAGCACACTTTCCGTGTTGTTCCCCCGGTTTTTTACTCCCCATGAGCCTGTGCGGTTCATCTCTGCAGCAGGCTGCGTCGCCGCCAGCTGTGCCCTTGAGCTGCTCATCACTTCAGCTGGGGTTCTGCGACGTGCTTGTTGTTTTGGGGGACAGCTTGTGGCAGATTGATGTTTGGACGTGTGAGGAAGCATGATTAGAATAAATTTTGATGCATCTAAGTGGTGGCCACCAAGGCCACGCTTTTACGCCGAGATTGTATGGCAATGTATGGCAATCACAAGCAATCACAAATGTCAAGTCCGTACTTACAAACTATAGATTAGAGGCTTTGACCGAAGAGAGAATCGAGTGGTTTGACGAAGTGGGTGAAGGGAGGGCCCGGTCCGATTGTGGGGAGATTTGGTTTTGTCCAAAGTGCCCAAGCCATCCCAAACCTCATAATCCAAACAAAATACATGTGAGTCGTGCCTTTTTTACTGAGAAAGGTTTTCTTCGCACTGTGTAGGCCATTGATCGCTGTACTTGGCACTGGTGGATTGCTTTAAGCAATCACGGTCTCTTTTGGGATGAGACGGACTCACAAGTCCACCGACCCAAACTACCAGCAGACCCAATCAAGGGACTATTGTAGAAGCTAACCATTATGAGTCTGTATGTATATTGTTTCGGAAGTGCTGTCGCTATCCACATAGTAGGTGCTGCTTGTGAAAACCTTCCATTCTCATCACGACCAGCCCAGGTTCATCAGGAAGTCACACCCGTGACGCCCTCCTCGCCACGTCTCAGACCCGTGGTGTCGTTCAAAACTCTGCCCATCCGCGGCCCGAGTGTAGCGGCGTGAGGTGCCGTCCCCGCCGTCCCCGCCGTCCCGCGGGGCGTGGAAGAAGCCCAAACCATCGCCATGGCCTGGGGTGGAGAAGATCTCGTGCCCGAGCTCTTGCCGCCGGGCTCTCCTGAGGCGCCAACGTTCTCGCGTTCTGGGTGCAGGGAGGGTGCGTTGAGGGCGGCCGAAACGGCCGTTGCACGAACGGCACAAACCCATCCGGATGTAAACCAACTGAGACCATTTCATGTGGTTTTGATGCCGTTGTTTGGCTGGGGTTGGCCGCATGGAGCTCTATAGGATTGTCTTAAGGAGCAGGGGCCAGCAGAGGTTGCCAACATAGACCTCCAAAAGACACATGTCTAAGTCTAAGTGGGTTTCAATATACTGTATTTCAATGGGCATGCAGGTTGTCGCGCTGCTGGTCCTTCTTGCTTATTTGGGGCGCCTCACCCTGCCGCCAGGCCAAGCATGACAAGGAGGCGGCAGAAGGGCAGATGAACAGCTGTGAGACAGTGCTGAACCTGGCCAACACCATGACACTCTGGCGCAGATACACACAGTAGGACATTGTAGGACCTCCAATTGCAGTGTACAGTAGTTTATGCCGTTCACGCTTTCCTGTGACGGTCTTTGTCAAGCACCAGTAGCTCGCCGGCTACAGCAGAAGCCATGATGCCAACTTGGAGGCATGTCACTATGATTCTAGCATAAACACTGCAGCCCCTTGCACTCCAGAAAAAAGCAAGCACCAAGCTCGACTCACAAAAACGGGTATACTATATGGTCCAGGTTGTAGAATGACTTCCGTGGTACTTCCCTCAGCCTTTCCGGGCCCAGGCCGGCTCAAATATACCTCGTCCATCCTCATCCATGGTTCATTGGATTATAATTCCCTTGATCCCTGGTTTGTTGAGGATGGGCAGCGGCGTGCTGGCCGTGCCCTTTGCTTTCAGCCTCACCAATGGCTGGGCCGTCTCCCTGCTGCTGCTGGTGGTGCTTCTCACCGCCTTCACGGCCTGTCTCATTGGCGAGACACTCGGACCGAGACAGGGCAGCCAGCGGCAAAGGAGAAGAGAGGATCCAGGAGACAACTTGATGGGGGGTGTATGGAGTGTATGCGCATGTTTTGCCGAGAGATCCCAACAAAGGTGCTGGGAGTTTTGATCCTCAGTTCAATCAATTCATGCATGTGAGCCATGCTCAGAGAAGCAAGCTCGGAGACCTCTCAGGTGCATTTTCAACCTGATCGCTATTTTGATGAGTACAGTATAAATAACATATATAAATAGGGAAGTGCTCCCGAGGGAGCATGCTTGAGGAATGAATGCCTCGACCACTGTTAGGGGCGATCGAGGCATATCGGGGCGATGGAAGAGAAAAAGGACAAAGTATCTAGCAGCCTAGCAGAGCCAGAATGAACAAGCTTGTGGGCAAACAAACGCTTGCCGCCTTACGCTAGTCCCCAGTCTAAAGAAACTCTGCCAAAGAGGCTACGATTCCTTTGCCCAGCCGAGCCACTGATTGTAGATAGATGGAAACGAGCAAGAACGCCCAAGTAACCATGAAGCTACATAGAAACCATAGTGTATCTATTTGAGCATCGCCCCCGCAAGGACAAGAATGCTTAAGCACGGAGAAAGGTGCCTTCATGGCATTTCGGACCAAGAAGTTCTTTTGCAGTGGTAAAATTTGATCCAATCATCAGGAAGCTGATGATGTCGAGATGCAGCCACATCGGGGGTGGGCAGCAACCAAGCACCAGGGACTATACCTTTTTGGCTGAAGTCTCCTTTGGCCAAGCTGGTAAATGCGTGGTGGCGGCAGCTTGGAAGCATTGGCATTGGGTCATTGTACAACAGCATGGTCCCATGCAGAGTCAAGTCGATTTCATCGTTTTCATGGCAGATCGTCACTGTCGATTTTTATGACCTCTCATGGCACCTGTTCGTGGCCTTCGGCTGCCGGGGACTGTGCCGGTGCAGGTGATCACTGCATTGGAGGTCTGGCTCGCAGCGGTGACCTTCCTCGCCGCTGGTCGGGATGGAGCGGTTGGTGCCTGCGGAGAGAGGCCCTGAAAGGATTCCAATGCCTGGTAAAGTGACCAACGGCAGGTATAGCTAGAAGGGCTAGAAGGCATTCACATGCTTTAATATGATGCAAGTCTTGGGTGATGTTTTTGAAGGGGAGCTACATTCAAGTTCCTTTTTGTGATTCGAATTCAAGTTGGGTTTGAACAGTTTTGAGTTCAACAAGTGCGTGGACAGACTGGGACTCCCCAATCATGTAGTGACTGGCCCCCAATATGAAGAATATTGAAGAATGATTTCAAGGCCATGCTTTGGTTCAAGGATGTTCAATGCTTCGACTTGCCATCTAACGTTATATAGGCCTTTAATTCACAGTGCATCCTCCTACTGCGCTTTTCAGGTGATGAATGGTAGCAACATCCAGGGCCTATTAGGCATGAACGAGGTGCAGGCGGTGCTCGTTTGCACGTTCGTCTCCACGGTGATGATCTTCATCCCCCTCCGCACCTGGGACAAGAAAAGAGGCTGATGACAGTGCTGCTGATGAAACCGGCATGGCCCTGCATGATTTCATATGTGTGTTTTTGCTCCATCCCTTGGGACCCATATAATTCGCATAATGCAGATAGCTTCTTAGAGGGTACTTGGACCCTCCAAGCCTACATCAAAGTGTCTCCAATCACCCTCAAAGGGCGGCCGTGGATGCATGGACGGCATATGTTTCCATGATCGAGCAACTCTTTGCCTTTTAAGACCGGTTGTGGGATCACTTGGAAATGTTCAAGACGGGCGCCCGTCCTCGCAGGACATGTCAAACGTGTTCTGAGCCTGGAGGCTGCAAGCCACGGATATCAACCCCTTTGTCGTCCAAAGTGTGTCAATACCCAAACCATGGTCTCCTTGGGGCCTCCTTTGGGCAGATTTCCAACTCATCCACTCGTGGTCAAAATAGATTCTGCCCGCACCATCGTTTCTTGGATTGCCACGAATCTGTTGTTTGTTGTTTTTTGCAACCTCACCACTTGGACGTGCTCTACATGTATCCATTGGACTCGGCACAGCCGGACACTGCGAACAGCACAATTTGAGGCATCTATGCCTATGTCTCCTTGGCATCTTTGGTCGCTCTTTTGATTGCCAGCTTGCGCCTTGTTACAGTATACAGTTACGAAAGCCAGCCTTCGTAGAAGGCGCTAGCGGAGTTGTGTCTGGCGAACGAAGTGAGTAGTTAGGGGGTCTGGGGGGGGTGGCCCGAGAAAGGTATACGTCAACTCAGCACATGCTGGGGGAGGAGGGTGCTCCGAGGGAAGGTTTTTTGAGGTTGTGTTGGAGGTGATTTTTGAGGGGTGGTGATGCAAGAAATGCCAAATGAATCATTTGCATCATCTGAATGGAAAGGTGTAGTTGGCACCTTGCAAGGTAGAGAGACCTAGGGTAGCTATAGTGCAGCTACCAGGTATAGTACTTCAAGTTCCCTTTCCGTCAACCGCTTGAGAACCTTTACACACGCACAGCAATCCACAGCCTTGAAGTCTCATTCGTGCTTTGAACTTGTATAGGTGTGTAAGAGGTATAGCAACTTACTATTTATACGGACCCAGGGTAGCTACAAGTAGCTACAGTTCTGGTATGGCGCGCAT